CTATGATTCTGAGAGATTTGATTTTGATATGAAGTCCACTCACCCATCTCCTCAGCTAGATTATCTGCCCATTTATTATCAACTAAGTCTGGAATAATCTTCTCCAAGTGATCCGCTTTGTCTGCGAATCGACCTCCTTCCATAGTGCGTAGCCAAGTTATTGCAATACGTAATTCCTGAATAAGATTTTCAGTATCGTAGCTTGAAGTTATCGTGACAGGCCCCTTTAACGTGCCCCTCCCCCTACGTTCTCCTCTTCCTCAACATTTTCAAGAGGCTTCTTTGAGCTGACACGATTAGGTTCATTTTCATTCCCTTACACTCCTACTTTAATCTTCTCCTCAACCTACACACCGCTGTTGCCTATTTGACTTGTTAGTGCCTCAATCCTAACCGAAACGGATGAGGTGGGACCGAGAGTGCAAGGGCAGAGAGAGGTGTGCCATTTGTTTCTGTGTGAAACTGATCATGTTTCCTTCCCTTCAGAAATTCCTTGCTGTCTAGCTGAGAAACTGCGCAATGGGGAAAATTGGATGCGCTCCAAGTGGCCAAATAATGGGGACATATAACAGAAACTCCTGTCCCTATCAGTACTCTCAGACTTGGGACACTCTCAATTATCTGCAGCCGATAACAAACGTGACAGCTTATTGTCTGGACCCGTCAGGGGGAAAACGAAGTCCATACGAGAGTAAAGGAGGCCGGCTTCTAAGGGAACTGTTCACAGCGTAGAGCGTATTCTTGTGAATCGTGATTTCACAGGCTGGAGGGCGAATTTGCCCTCCCCTTATTACCTTTAAGTTTACCTTAGTACTACTATATCTATCACTAACCTCGTCCGAGAAGAATACTTTCTCTACGGTCTGATAGACATTTTCAAAAAATTGATTCCTTTCCTCCGGTGGAACATCAATGGACGTGGCTTCGAGAACAGCTTTAAACCGAAGAATCTGAACAAAACAGTGGACTTTTATTACAATTTTCTCCTTTTTTTATTTTGTATTCGGGTCGCCAGTGGAGGTGGCTTACAAAAATTCTCTTGTCGAAGTAATTTTCGTTACATCACCTTGTAACTGAGCAATCTCAAATCATGCGTCAGTTGTTTGGTTTAAAATAGATGCAAAAACTCGTCACTACCGTTATCACAGCTTGTCATTTTTTAGTGGCCCATAAACGGTGATACGTCCTGGCCTTTTCCCTTTATGTGAGTCAGTCTTTATCAGCGTCTAGAAGGCCATAGAATAGGGTCCAGCGTGTATCGTCAGACATGGCAGTAGAGGTATTTATTTATTAACGTGGGCTATACGATGAATTGCCGTGGCCAGCCCAAGTATGAATTGGTGCTACATCTACTCAGACGAATCTGGTACTAATCAACAAACTCCAAAAGGATATTCATATACCGCTCGGTTGACCTGAGCGCATATTCATACGGGCTTAATCCCCGACTCGTGCGCGGATGCGCCTTTTGTCATTAAACCACCTCTCTCCATCTTAAATACTTAGGATTCGATCATTCTGAGAGTAGGGTAGAGATTTCGTATGCCCCTTTATAATTATACCAGGAATTCCATGAAAATCTGATAGGTGGTGATGTGAAGATTCTTCGACAAAGCCGCTTCCATACCGAACTCCTGCTGATCGTGGCCTATCTTTAGTTCTCATCATCATTATCAGCACGACTACCACACGTACCTGTCTGACTTGCTTGAGTGAGAAGTTTGCCATAATATCGACTTCTTTACTTTCCAGATATTCCATAATTATATATCCTTTCAGTTGATTGTGTTCAGTAAAACTTTGCATAAAGTAGATCTGAAAGTTGGTTGGGTGTTCTCCTCAGGTGATAATTCTACAAAATTCAGTAGTCTGACAGTTACCTTGGGAATGCAAACCTTTCCCTCGGGAAGCTTCATCAGGTGTCTGTAACAAGCCACTTCTGCATTGTGAGCCTGAATACTGTGAGTCAACTTATTCAATACTATATTACGTTATCATTCGCCATTAAACGCTATCATATTATCATTAATATTTACATCATGTGATCTTACACTATTATTAAGTATCTGCATGGACAGACCATTACCATTAGGCCTGCCTGCACCTTCAGGACAAATATATGGTTCTAGCAAGGGCAGGGACGAGCCTACTAGAGTATTAACTGCTTCCTCTACGTCAATAACCAAGCAGAACCACCCATTCGAATATTTTACATTTTCGGATCGGAAACAGAGCCATAGCTTGTTCTAGCTGGATGAACCCGGTGTAATGGAATTACTCGGAATTTTGAAACCATCTATGAGCAAATACAGCTTTTGGTGAAATGGGACCTTACAGCCCTTGGGAAAAGATAAAGTTTTGTTTTATATTCTTACCAGTCGGATCGCCCGGCTAACGCCAGGCTCTCCTCCTTCTTACGGGTTCGCCCGGCTACGCCGGGCGTTCCTCCTTCCTGTGAGAAATTTGCTATGCGTAAATAATAATTCGGATTCTCCTTTTTCTTAGAAAGCTCTACACTCTAAGAATCAGCACCGAATTGGGAGCCATTTTTCCTGTAAACCATCTTCGCTGTGCCCGAATAGAACATCGTATAATATCACAAAGGCTATTATTCAGAGAAAGATAGTATTCAGAGACTTCACCGCGGCTGAGGCTACTATGTTAGCTACCGGTTATTTCGCTGTTTCGCTGAGCGAGAGTATAGACTATCAAATGCCTTAAAAGATG